TTATGGAACGTTTAGAAGCTGAACAAATCTATAAGGAAATCGATCAACGTATGATGGAATACCGTCAATTATTTACACAATTGAAAATGAGCCAAGTACCAGAACGTGTAAAGTTACAATTAAGTGCACTTAGACATGATCCAATATTTGCTAATACACAACGGAAAAAGAAATTAGATTTAAGAATCAATAAAAATGCTGAATATTTCAAAAAAACAGATATTGGTGGGATATTACAGGGATACAAAGATTCAATTACACCGGATGGATGGCAAATGATTAAAGAACAGAAACAGGATTGGGTAGATATCTACTCAAGTAATGATATCTATGAAATTATGAGAAAATCGCCGGATAATATTTTATGCTTAGGTACACATTTTTACACTATAATAATGAATCAGAATGTTGATCTCGACTATAACTAAGTTGTTTAATGTAAGAGATATCTCCGGGTTCTCAAGAATTTGAATTGAAACTACTCAACTTAATTTCATTGCTTGCCAAACCGATATGGCCGAAAACTGTGACAAGTGTTCAATTTTCCCTTTCATCTAGTTCAAAATTATAATACCTACAGTTTTCTTTTCTGAGTAAAATTGTTCAAAGCCAAGACGAGTGAAACTAAAAGTTTCGATACATTCGTAGTCTAGAATATCAGATGAATTGATATCAACTGATTTGATTTTCATTTTCATTTTCATTCTATCATCTAAACACCATGACAAGAGAGTACACCCACACCCTCGATAATGCCTCTCATAACTGAAATCATATTTCGAAGTACAATAATTAACTTTTTTCTACATGTTTTTCACCAGGTATTCTTGTTCAACGAGACGAAGAAGCTATTATTAATCCAACAAAAGGTTTAAAACTTTTGAGCCTTACTAATACAATCATTTCATATGATTCATTTATTAATGCTATGAATGTAGCTAAAAATGATCAACAATCACAAGGACAGTTTACTACTTTGAATGATCTTTATTGTGTAGCTGGTACTTTATCAGGTGAACGAATAAATGCTGTCATACCGTTGTATATCAATGATGAACATATGAAACGAATACGTATTCTTGAGGGTATATGGCTTGGTTATCTTTACACTTTAGATAGTTATGGATATGATAAACAACAAGAAGTTGGTTTATTAAAATTACTCTATCAAATAATTCAACAACGTACAGATACACAACGACAAAAACAAATTTTAACTGAACTTGAAAAAGTATGTCAATTTATTATCAATGAATCGCAAGGTTTTAAAACAGCTGAACAACATGGTGAGAAAACATATGAAAAATTATTGAATCGACAAGTCATTGTAAGTAATGAAGACTACGATCTATGTATACCATTGATGATTGGATATTTAAAAAACAATTTAACAAATGTCCTTTTACCAGTTTATTATGAATATCTTAGACAAGAGTACCAAAAGCGATATAGAAAAAAGTCATCGGAAACGAAACAAATTGTTGAAAAACTTATCTATGGTTGCGAAGCAAAACATTTTATGATGACTGTTAGTAACACTAATCAAAATAATACTACAACAATGAATAACAATTCTGATTATATAGAAAAAAGTTTTATCGATTATTTTCATGACGAATTATGTAAACCAATTCAATTAATACCAGAAAAAATTACAAATGATAATCGTAAACTTATTATACGTGATGATACTGAACTCGATTATATTAAAAATTTTATATTGCCAATACCTGATTTTCTTACGACTATGTTAAATTATTGTCAAATTGACGCGAATTACATTGAAAAACATTTAGATTATGATCATTTGAGATGGGAATTATTAATTACATTTTACTATTTGATTTATTCGGATACAAGTAGTGGAGGTTTACAGAATTTACCAAATAAAGACCGTATATTATCTGTTATTGACGATAAACTACAAGGTAAGTATATCAAAGAAGATTGTATAGAATAAGTTGGTTGTAATTTATTTAGAGATCATTTAATATACATTTTAGGTAACAAAGAAGATGTCATTGATTATGATGATTCATCGGAAAATGTACGTCTCGTTAGTTATGTTGTTCTTCGTTGTAAAACACTTGAAGGTTTTGCTGGTTTAATGCGCAAATATTGTTCAAAATGTCGTGGTCCAATATTTACTGAAATTTTTAAACAACTTCTATTAACATATGATAATGAGAATAATGACACTACCGTTGGAGCAACAAACAAAGATAAACTTGTTGCTTTGCTTACAAATCAAATTTCAACACAGACGATACCAAAACGAATTTATGAAAACATGGCACAGCACTATTGCTCCCCGCATCTCTATGGGCGACTTAGTGATTTACGTAAATTCATTGATGAAAAACAAGTTGACCAAATTGAGTTTCATATTTTTGAAAAAATCGTCATCTATTGTTGTGGTACATCACTTATGCCACATCGAAATAGCAAAAGGCGAAGAATACATCACTATAAATTATGCTGAGAAGAACTTGACCATTATTTTTCTTTTTTTCAAAAAGAAATGAAGCAAACATTTGAATAAAACTCTTTCTTATGTTTCGCCAGTTTTTATCATCTTAATGAAAAAGATATCTATTATCGGTACAGAATGTCTCATTTTGAATCGGCGTTTTACAGAGAATTTTCAATTATTCATTATTCTATGTTTCTAATAAATTATGACGAAATTACACTGAGCATCAAGATATTGATCTTAGTTACTCTGTTCAGGTATTATTGATTGAAACGCTATTTCATTTAAATTAATTCGAATAAAAAAGCTTACGTCGATCAGTGTAAAGCGATGCAATTGAAAAACTGATAAAGATCCATCGTCAATTTTCGTTTCTATTCAAGGATTGAATTGATGTAAAATGGACTCAAAAATAGGCTGTCCTTTTCATTGATGTATAATCTCGTAACTAAAGGAGATGTCATAAGTAAGAGTTATCTTATCATGCTTGTGTTTTTTTCAAAAAAAGTTATTCATATTCGATAAGTTTTCTCATAGATAAGCTCCTACCATATGTGCGATCTTGAAGATCAGTTTTTATTCCGACGTCAACTTAAATCAAGTAGAGGTAGAGTCTCTTCCCAAAACACACACTGATTTGCAAGATTTAGTTTAAATTAAAATTCTTACAAAATAGCGTAGAAATTGCGAATATTGTACAGGAAACGAAAGGTAATAGTTCACGTCTTCATTTTCCTTGTTGGCTGAAGCATGTGCTTGTAGAAGAACGAAACTAGACTTGATAATCAATGGAGAGTATGTATACCAATACTTTCTAACTATCCACATGACTGATGTCTGAAAATTTATATTTTATTAGATCCTATTTTAACTTAAAGTTTTCATACAAAGGTCATTTATTGATAGATGGCCCAATTAGTTCAGAGTACGTTGATGATTACACATGCAAAGTTCTTTTACCATAAACTGTGATTACACTTTAGAATCATTGTCAAAAAGAAATTCATCAGTGAGTCCGTCTCGTTCGTTATCTTCAACATACTTACTCGCGTAGTTTTAGTAAAAAAAAAAGCTTATTATCTGTTGAGGTTAATCAGAACGATAATTTAATATGATTAGAGTGTGTAGCGTTGATGACATAGACACACATATCTTTCATCACAACTTTGCTAGTGAATAAATGCCTGGT